AAAGGTTTAACTGCAGCAGTGAAAACAAGTCACGAATATATTCTCTACCCATTTGTGTCATGCATTTTTCACTGAAATAAATATTGTAAACAAAGTAAAAGTTTGTGTTTAAAAACACTTTTTTCAAGCATATTATCGTGAAACGACAAGAAAAAATACAAAAATAACATACCTTTTCATTGTCCTTTTAGAAGAAAAACGTTGATTAAATCAAAACAGATTGATTTTTGTATGTTTTTGATCGAATCTGAACATGAACCTGTCTTTGACACTTTGTCAGGAGCAACTGGTTTTGTCAAAGGCAAAACGCCAGGCATAAAACTTTTTATTCCAAAGCTTCTCTGCTACCATATTCATGAAAAAAGCATGTACATTTTTACTGAAACTACACGTCTTTTTGTATGTTTCTTGCCAGTTTTCTCGAGTTTAAATTCGTATATATTCGTGTTTTATATTTTTCAACTTTTCACTTTTTGTCAGCCTCGCTTTGAAAATACACAACTGCACTGATCTCAAATTAGATCGCAAGCAACACTGGAATTTTAATGAATTTAATTTTTACATCTGATAAAAAATAAACACGTTATTTACCGGCAGCGTCGGTCCGGATGAGAAAAACTGTGCCCTCGGTCTTGAAAACGTCCCTCGCCCTTCGGGCTCGGGCCGTTTTCCAGACCTCGGGCACAGTTTTTCTCATCCGGACCTCGCAGCCGGTAAATAACATATATATATTACACAGAAGTGTGCAGCTGACTATGGCTCTCAGGGTCTCCCAGGAAGTTCATGCGCAGACATTTTGAAGCAAAGATGCGATGACGCTAAAGATGGAATATACTGGATTAGGATTGGTAATTAATCAATTATTTTTATTTAAACACATTTTGACCACATTGGCTTACGATCTAGTGTAATAGAACGATAGTTACACTGCAATTTAATTAAACTGAATTGCGTAATTTTACAAATATAGAAGAATCTAAATACTATAGGTATAGCATTTTAAAATTACAGAAAAAATAAACAATAAACTTTAACTTATAATCAACGATTATATATTATTTAAGATTCTTTAGAAACACTATATATTTATGTCTTATCAAAGAGATCACTAGAATGCACCATGAAAATATTTGCATAGCGTTTAGTTTTTGCTGTTGGTATATTAAAAGTTTAACTTTTCCTAAGGGCGTATTAGGCATTTGGCATCTATGCGGTAGTAAGGCGTCCATTTTTCTTTTGGAATCTCCTAGTATCATCCTCCTGCTTTAGTCAAAGTTTTGTGATGATCACGTATATTTATAGACCAGGAAGTAAGATATCTTTATATCGGCTTGCTGGATAAATGCAAGACAATGCTCTTTTCTGAATTCCCCCAGATCTTCTAAACGAGGTGTTACGCACACTAACGTTATTTGAAAACGGTGGTGTAACATCTTTGATTATATATTTGCTTTCAACTTGTGAATAATTTCAATTATACAATGGCTGATGAGATATTATAATTGGGGTTGAGACTGAGACTACATGTTGTATGAATTTGTCTTTACCGTGCTTCGGACAACATTTACTACTTGGCTACCCCTATTTAAGACAGATCAAATCGTGCGCCGTTCAACGGTCGTAATGCGAACACTCCTCCTATGATTTTTTGGCGATCTTCTAACACCAAGCATGCAAAACACGCAAATTGGGGAGGGTAAATCTACCAGAGTCAGTGTTGGGTGGGAATTGTATATTTCTCACTTCGTTCACTCATAAAACTCCAATTATACTACCAGGCACATCAGCCCTTGTATAATTGGATTTTTTTTCATGAACTTGAGTCGAAATATATCAGACTACAAGTGGCAGATTTTAACACAAGAACGCCATAATAAACCTAAAAAACTTTATTGTTAAGCTCGACAAAGAAAAAATGTTAACATGAACCAAATAAACTAATTATGGTTATGAGCAAGGACTGCACTATCAAAGTTTGTGTTTTCCAATGCTCTTTAGTAGAATTTCTGGAATATTGATGCAGTAAACCGATCAGCCATCCTCAAGATTCCCTTAATAGGTCCAGAAGCATTCGCTGTTGCAGATGTTAAAGCACATCGCGCTTTATGTGCTTTAAAGTAGAGGTGGCGACATCAGTTTCAGCCAGCATTTCCTGAATCCATCTAGCTATGGTTGATGGGAGAAATTGATAAGGTTTGATGTACGAGATATATACGCTTTTATGTTCACTCGCCGGTGTTGTCCGGAATATAGTTGTAGACGTTATGTATACTGCCTCAAAAAGCAAAAGGATATAGCTTCTATCTTCTGTGAATTAGGGAACAATGGCCGAGACTGGTCCATCAGGTCGGGTTGTTTTAGTTTTAAATAATGTAAGCGTGAGATCTTTTGGTGCCAGCCGATAAAAATCCAAGTGTGCCAGAGAAGCAATTCGCTTAGAGCATTTCAATAAAGTTCATACTTGTCCCCATTTTCACTGTAGAAACGTCCTAAATCTGGGAATAACTGGGTTTGGCGGGAGGGGCGGGGCGTTTGTTGAGAATACGCCATAATAAATTTATTACATAGGCATGCTGTCCCACTGGATAACCATCATCCTTGGGGTGGGTAACAGAAAGTGTAGACCTTAGTATATTTATAGAGAAATGTACAGGGTGTGTATAAAAAACCGAACAGATATGAATTTGAGTCCAATTTCGCAAAACAGCTATTAGGGTCCAGTTTTTTATGTACATAGCTTCTTTGGGTACTTTTAATGTAGATTAATGAAAATTAATCGAGAACTTAAAAATGGCTTGCATACGAAATTTAAAAGCTTTAATCATATTTTGAGTTAATAGACTGGAAATTTGTTCGGGTATGACTAAAGGGAGAGTTACCAACCGGAGAGTTATCTCGGAGAGTTAGGATTTCGGAGAGTTATGTTCGAACCACGCCCAAACCACACCCACTTTCCCCAATGACCACACTCAATTTCTTAACTCTCCCGACGTTTCCTTGAACTAACATGAGAGATTTATGCTTGACGTAACTCTCTCTCTCGTTAACATTATGAAGATGTTAGAGAGTTATCATTTTTTATAACTCTCAGCGTTCACGATTGTGACAATGAAGAGAGTTATGTCAGTTTTTTGAGAAAATCTTAGAAAAGCTTGTTTCTTCTGATATTCATCTTTTATTTTGGTATTTCAGTTTGTAGCGTGTCAATACCAGGAAATAGTGCACCTTGACTCGGTCAAAACAATGACATGCTTGCATCAGAAGGGTCAAAGTACCCCCAGAAGCATGCTTAGCTTTGACGTGTATTTGACAGTAAATACGGTAAGCATAGTGGCAAGAAAATTGAAAAAATTGCGAAAATTGCATCTTTCAGAAATTCAGGTTTTGGAAATACTTTCCTAGATCAGCCAATAGGGCTTTACGTTGAAAAGGTTTTCTGGTTCTATCTGAGCTGTATCTGAATGCTGGGCTTTGTAGATAATCCAAGTGAGCATGTATAATAGTTTATTTACTTGTACTCGCTTCACTTGGTAAGTACTAAAGTACTACCAGTTTCTACTAGCGTGGAATGTTAAAGCTGAAACTTGAGAAAAAAGTAAATTCACAATAATTTACTAAAATGTGGAAATTGTTATCAAAAAACTGACGGACATAACTCTCTTCATTGGCATTGCCACAATCGTGAACGCGGTGAGTTATAAAAAAATGATAATCTCTATCATCTTCATAATGTTAACGAGAGAGAGTTATGTCAAAAATAACTCTCTCATGTTAGTTCAAGGAAACATCGGGAGAGTTAAGAAATTGGGTGTGGTCGTTGGGAAAAGTGGGCGTGGTTTGGGTGTGGTTCGAACATAACTCTCCGAAATCATAACTCTCTGAGATAACTCTCCGTTTAGCCGGTCACAATTTGTTCGGTTTTTAATTACATACTGTACAAAATTTCAGAGAGTTTGCCATTGTTTAAGTCCTTTAGCTATTCTCACAAACTTACATTTTTTCCTAAAATCAGCTATTTGCATGCTTAATGAATGCTTAATTTGCATATGTCAGCAATATGTAAATTAGGTAAAAGCATTAATTAAGCATGCGAAAGGCTGATTTTTTAGGAAAAAATAAATAGCTAAAGGACTTAAACTATAGCAAATTGCCTGAAGTTTTGTACAGTAATTAAAAACCCAACAAATTTTCCATCTATTAATTCAAAATATGAATAAGCTTTTAAATTTCGTGCGCAAGCCATTTTTAGTTTATTGGAAAAGTCACACTCCCATGGTTCACAAAATTTGAGTTCGAGAAATTTTGTTCATTATTCTACATTATATAAGTACCCAGAAAAGTTATATACATCAAAAACTAAATACTAATAGCTGTTTTGCGAAATTGAGAGCAATTTCAAATCTGTTCAGCTTTTTTTGATGCACCCTGTAGAAGACCATTATCAAAAGAGTATGATAAAACGGTAAGAATGTAAAGATGCCGCAGAAACAGGATCAGTTTTCCGTGAAGAACACCAGCTGTGCTAGCGCTCCCGGATCGATTCATAGGTATCATACAAGGAGGTTCTAGTGGCTGCGATGAGTAAATTGGCAACGCTTGTTGGAAGACATTCTGCTTTGTAGCGCTGTACGAGATATGGAATACGTCCACATGGAGACGTGGATACATTGGGTGAACTGTTTGTGAATTAGTAGGGGGCGCCAAAGTTGGGCTTGCCAAATTGGGACTATCAATACAAATTCTGTTTGGTCGGTCGTTAATTTGCTAAGCATCGCGGAGTGGAGAGCTTTAGGATCTGGCCACCGGTTGATGTAGCTTGGGAACTGGTGAGTTAGTCCTTTTGGCAAAAAGATCTGTTTGACAATCCTTTAGAACAAGTCGTATGAGGCTGCAATGTAGCATCCAATCGGTGATGTCCACAATTAATTAGTCGGGATTCCAAATCTGTAAGACTTGTCAACTTGCCTGGTACAGGATTTACTACTACAAATATGTTAGCCTGGATGCCTCAGTTCCAAAGATCTAGAGCAAGTTGGACTAGGTGAGGTACTAAACGTGGAATTGTCCATATTGATGAACACCGTTATTGAGGATTGGTTTCTCAGAAAAGTTTGTAACGCCAGTAAGGCACCATTCAATTATAGAATATTGATATGAAAACGTTTCTCTAGGGCAGACCATATTCCGTTCGTCAAGTTTTCAGCGGACCGCCCCCCCCCAACCCTCATTGGATGCGTTTGTACGGATTGTTAAATCTGGGGTGGATGAGGTCGCAATATGGCTGCTATTGCACACCTCGATATTGCGAGACCACCAATTCACAATTCCTGTCTTTATTGAAGAGAGAGGGCTTACTTCTTTCTCGTATTTGCCAAAGGGAACTGTGTCAAGTTAGTTGTGCCCGTAACATGCGAATGTGAAGAGGAGCTAGCTAGCCATATGGCTGGCCGATATGATTCAAGTATGTCCAAGATTTGAGCCATATATCGGTGAGCTACGGTTGGTTTGGCCAGCTTCAGATGACACTGTGAGCGCACATTGTTTTCTTTTTCGCCAAGCAAGGTTAGAGTTACGGTGGCTAAGCTGATGGTGAATCCCAAAAAGGTATTTGGCTGCGTTGGGTTGTTGAGGGTCGATTTTTCATTGTTGATAATAAACCCTTAGGATTCTGCAAGAAACATAGTCGTCTTGGTGAATCTGTGTGTCTCCGTCAGGAGGATGTCGTCTAGGTAGATTACCGTAGGCGAACTCCACTTTTCCTCAGAAAGCTGCCACCGGGTTTAGAAACCGTGCGAATATGCAAAAGGTGATATTCAAACCCAAGGGTAAGCTTTGGGAAACCGGTAAGCTTTTTTTCCCAACTTTTGAGATTCTGGGTGGATGGCTACAGAAAAATAAGCATCTATTAAGCCAGACGTGGTCATGAAGTGACAGGGTTTTAAATTAAGAGAATCCTTCCTGTTGAAAGATGGTCCATTTGGAATTGGGAGTTTTCTATAAACTGATTGAGAGAGGTTTTCGCGCACGGTGGCGCCTATTTAGGGACTGGAATGAGATCATGTCCAGAAGGCTTTGAATTTCTGCCTTCGGAATTGGAGTTGACTCCTGCAATACCCGTGTAATTTGAGGAGTTTCTTGAAAGGGAATTTTCAAGCCGGAAAATGTTTTCAGATTTCGGTATCCGAAAGCAGTTCCTGTCACTGTTTGATGCGCTTTGGGGTTGGGATGCGGTCGGTACGACAACTGGGGATTTCGAAAAATGTTTTGCATCTGCCGAGAAAACTGAAAATTCTAGGTATTTTGATTGGTTGCAACCCGAGTGGTTAGAGTTGGAAAATCTGGAGCTTTGCGGTTTGGGCCTAATGAATTCCGCTGCTACACTTTTTGCTGTGCCCCAAAAAAGTTCTGCCTTTTTCCAAGCGATGGATAGGAAATCATCACCAAATAACCACATTCATGCATTGGGCAAGGATTGGTTTGCCATATCAAGCTTTCCCAGTTAATAGAAGCAAGGACGTTTTTGCGGCAAAGGGTAGACAAGTGTTTGTTTGCTGACCACAATAGGCAAAGTGTTTGTTCAACAGTTGTTTTCAAATTTACAATATCCACTGCTGAATTGCTTTCAGACTGATCATGTAGTGTGTAGAGGGGCCTTGTGGCGTTAGGTAAGGCCAGTTGGACAAATTGTAACTATTTGTCTCGTTCTTGGACAAATTTTCTATTGTTTTTGGCAATGTGCTGCACCACTGACGGACTTAGTGTTGGGAACCTCTCCTGAGGGAACTGATTGTGTTTCTAAAATTAAAATTAACAAACTTTATCACACAGTATGTCAGTTATCGGCAAAAATTTTCTCAAGAAATGAGTATAAATGCTTCTGAAAGTCGCCATGCGATGGCTAGATCATCAAAATTGTACGTACATATGTGAGCCATGATGCTTGTTACTGGGATGCGCAATTTGGAGATCAGTTCCTATCCCATATATCCATATCTGGTGACTAATGAGTCATTTCTGATGACTTAATAGTCAAATCTGGTGGCCTAATAGGCAAATTTGGGGGTATAATAGCCATATTTTCCCGTTGAGAAGCATCTATATAAGTTGTTAATGTAACTTCCCCGCCGAGACTGACAGCGTGTCGTCTTCGTGTTCGGCGACGACACGGAAATGGGAGCTTTGCTATGCTGTTTCTAATGAGAGTGAGCTTCAATGGCAGTAATCCTGGAGTTGCAGACCACATGTCTGCTTGTAAATCCGTATAGGATTGTAGCATTTGACAAAGAATTTGCTCGTTTTCGTTTAGATTGTCGTTGGTGTCAATTTTGGGCGGTTTGAGGAATTGTTCGTCGATGCATGATGATATTTTTCTCGCGAATTAGCCATTCCAAAGTTGATGACTTGACTGGAGTCGAGTGTTAAAAAGCGCCCAAATTAAGAAATGAACCAAATCACTAAAAAGACCACCTCAAAATTAGTAAGTATACGAAGTTTGAAGACGTTTACATGAAAACAATATTAAGGTTTCGAAAATTTTGAAACTACTGATAAAAACTGTTTTGGGGCGCTTTCCCCCCCCAAAAAAAATATTACAGTACGTTTCATATTAAATATTGGGATTGTCGAAAGCTTATTATTATTCGAAAAATATTCATGTAAACGTCTTCAAATCTTAGATACGTAGTAATTTTGAGGTGGTCGTTTTATGTGATTTGGATTATTTGTTAATTTGAAAACTTTTTGACACTCGTCCCCAGTCCTCGCATCAACTTCGGAATGTCTAATGTAAAGTTTACGAGAACGATGGCTGGACATAGTCAAGCTCACTGTATATGACACTGTTTAAGCTAAAAAATCATTATATGTCTATAAAAGGGAAGATAAAAAAATACAATTTTACAGTGAATAACTACTTGCGTGCTCATGTCCGAGGCACAAGGTGAAAATGTCTCAGGGGCATCATGAGAAGGGTGTTCCTGTTGCAGTCGATGAAGGGTGCAATGTACGACTTTCCCTTTTTATAGGGGGTACGCTAACGTTAAGGTTACAGGACACCCTTTTTGGCGTTTTGTGGAAAATCGCTATTGCGCGGTCAAATTTCATCAAATTTTCACCAAATGTTAGCTAGAGCATGCAAAAGATGATAAAGTTGTAAAATTGACAAACAATAAAATAATGTAAGAATTATTCAGGAAAATCTTAAGTCGCGTGTTATGTTCCTTCTGGTTTTAAGATATATTTATGAAAATATCATTTTTATACAGTAAAATAGTTGTTCTAAAAAATTGTTTGTTCTAAAAAATTGTTTATTTCGTCATTCCGCTGATATGGCGATTTCTTTGACAACTGCAACATATTTCTGAATCGTTTGTGTGAATTGCTCCTTATTATTAAAATATGCAAAATTAGAACAAAGCCAAATATAATTTTGAAACTGACGTCTTTAGCTATGTCCTGTGAAAATTTAAGACCAATTCGTTAAAACTCGCAGTTGCACAACTCGTTTAAAAATCACTAATTGCCGTAAAATTCTTCGGGAGAAAATTGAATTTGAGTATTACATTTTCAATGTTTTTTTTATTGCAAGCGAAATGTATTTTATTAAATAACTCTGCGAGTTTTCAACATTTTTCGTCCAAACTTGGTCAGTTAGTAGAACTAATCTAATTCTTTCATGGGAATAAATAAAAAAAATTTAGGCAAAATTAACATTCAAAGGTGTTCTGTAACCTTAAAATGTGGTGCGAAACACTGTAAAGAGCAAGTTATACCGCTTGTAGTCTCTGTTTCATATATTTCGACCGGAGTGCATGAAATGGAATTGTTAAATTCTATGCATGCGCGTATGGTGGATCGTAACAATTGTTATAAATGATGATAATGGTGATAAATAAATATTTTTATTGTAAATATTACAATTGGTGGCTTGCGTGAAAGATCCAAAAGCAAAAGATTGCTTCGCATTTTTTTCATGTGCTGTTCGTTTACTAACAATAACTTGGGCAATTCGTTTCTTTAAAAAAAGAAGTGGATTGACTACAAGTCATGTTATTTCGCTGGATTTTAAACAACCTGCCGACCACATTGGCGACCGAGCTCCAAATTTCGGCCCAATAGCAATTTTGTGACAGTTGATGGATATTAAGAATTAGAAGGGATTGTTGACCAATCAGAAACTAAATTACACTTTGAATGTATAATGAATAAATTAGGTCATTAACCGGTCAATATCTTTGAAAATAAATTCATACACATTTTCATACACTGTAAACCGCAAGTTATCACTAATTAGTTACATTGCACTGATTGTAATCGGTAAATTGAAAGACACTAATTCTGAGAATATATAGCTACATTACAACGATCATCATAATAATTATCCTGTTCACTCTCTGTTAGGTCAAACAAAACAATTTCCTGTATTTTGTAACATGGAAGCTGGAGGTAATTATCAGCCTAGATAGGATATAGAAATGTCGTGCTTAGCAGTTATTTAGAGATTTATTTATACAAGCTATAGTAATATTAGTGGATACAATTCAAGAGGCAGAGGCTTTTTCGCCAATTTTGTATCTCGAAAATATAGGTATATTTTTTCCTCTAAATTGTACATGGAACCCATCAATAATTGGCGAAAAGAAAACGATTATTTGAAGTTATAGTACAACAATAATTCCATTAAAACCGTCCCGAGACGCAGCAAACGTGCAAAAGGGTAGATTCCACGATTTGCACTTCCGCTTTGCATGAATTCCTTCGTTTTAAAATATTCTAAAATGAGCTAGCACAAATGCAAAGGGCGTGTGTGAGCAAAGTTCGTGCACTCGTGCACTAAAAACTGTGCATGCGTGGTTGCTAATAATTTTATTTACCTGCTCTATAATCCACAATATAATGTGAAAATTAAGATTAATCTAATTAATCCTTCAATGTTCATTGAAATATTCGACTTAATAATCTTTGAAATAAAATTATTTCGAATCAGACAGTTTGGCTCTTGTAAACCCATAATTTTTATATTTGTTGAATTTGCAGGTTGGACTTTGGTGTTTAAGCTTATAGCGGGAATATCAGGAGGACCAGCAAAAATTTGGAGAACGCCCTTCTCAACCTATGAATACTCGCTGGCAGCTCTTAATACCAAAAACGATTTTAAACATCATTACAAAAACCGCATTGTTCAAAACTGGAGTTTGTTTAAGCCATCGGAGGTACGACTGAGCCAGTGAGAACAATCTGCAGACATGCATGTTTCGGCGTTCTGCCCACCATGTATGTATCGCATATTGGCGCTTTTGGACGCATATTTGACAGGAGTGCGCCACCTCAGTGCAACTTAGTACTCGTTTAAATACGTGATACATTCGTACTTTATCACACGAGCTGGCTCTCACCAAGGCATGTGGTGCAACACGATGTTATTGACGAATACAGGCATGCACAGAGTGTAAACGAAACTTTTTTTAATTGTTTTGAGCCGCCTTAGGGAGTGTTCATTACTTATGATTTGGGGGGTGGGGAGTGGCATTTCAAAACTCCTCCCTATCAGTATGTGCATGACTCATCCCCTCCGGCAACAGCAGAACTCGTGTGAACTCCTCCCCGTCCCCCAAGAAAAGATCGAAAACTTTGATGACCACCCCACTTTATATGGAATACAATACAAGTGTATAAATATGGTTTGTACAATATCAGTTAATTAAACAATAAAAAGTCTTTATTTTATGACGTTGGTAATAGTGCAAAAGCTCCTGTAATCTTGTAGTCATTTGATAGTTGAAAATTTTCATGTTTTATACTCACATATTTTGACGAGGTCAAAACATTGACAGAACTAAAACTTTAATAACCCACTCAATTATCCTCAAACTCTGGTGACCCCCCCCCCCAAAAAAAAAACACCAAATGTTTTTGTTTCCCCCTAAGAAAAAGACTAAAAGTCTTCTAGGAAGTTTTGCTTGAATAAATAAATTAATAGAAAATTTTACTTTAGTGCTGTTAAAAGCTTTTTTTTGTAAATTTTATATCAGTTAAATGTAGCGTTTCTGTTATATTTATTTTACTGTTATTCCTGTTATATTCAATATATTCATATACAATTATATTCATTTAGCGTTCCGTTGATATGCATTTCAATTCGGCTAGTCCTTTGTTTCGCCACCCTTGCATTCTATATAAGTACAACAAGGTGACAAACTGTTTTCATATTGTCCTAAACTCTTCCATTTTTTAGGCTAAGGTGGCTTTGTACAAGAGTGACAAAGAAGAGGTTGTGCTCAGGTTCAATGCTGCTAACAGCAACAATGTGAACTGGTTTTCTGCTGCAAATGTTCTAGAATCACCATGGCAAGATATCTTAAGTACGAAAAAGAACTACTTTACTGTTGGTGGTCCATGCTATCCCACAGGTTGCAGAGATTTTCATATTAATAGCGTTTACGGTGGCTGTGCTGCAGATGATGGTTGGCTCTCTATTGGAGATAGCGCTACATGCAAATGGGAAAAAAGATTCCCAGCTGGAGTGAAGCTGACCTACAGTAAAGCTACTAATCACGTCAACTACAATACCTTCAGTGAGTTTCGACCAGTTTCATAAGAATATATATTTATAGATATTTACATTTGTAGCAAGAAAACACACTAAGGATATGCTTATATCAGCCTGATTTTCTTGCTGACCAGCTAAACGGGGTGCATGCATGTTTGATACTAATCATACTAATACATTTACATCCCAAAACAATTTTACATTACAAACTGGGATCACACTTGGATCGAAAGTTGTCAATCTAAATTATTCCAAAATCTCGGTAAAAATTGTCGTCTAACACAACTGCTACAATAGCTACTGTAATCAGGGATATATTTCTTGTTGAAAAAGTTGCTTTAAATAAAAAAACCACATCAAAAACATCTATATCTGAATATCGAGGGACGTTTCCGTCGTAAGAATGTTTCTTCCATCAATTTTGGTCTGCAATTCAAAGGTCTGATCCCAGCTAACAGGCAATCTTACATATACAAACAGCGCTAAATCGCAATGGAAGAGCATGTTGTACTGTCCACCAACTTGATAAACGTTTTAATAGCTGTCTTTAGAAATAACTTATCGAAATAGATTTTAAGTGGTTGTCTCACTAAGAACCATGCATGCAGTACGTTTTGGATAGAAAATTAGATTTCCATCATATTTTTATCATGAATTATCTTTATCCTTTGACACCTTTTACTTCAGACACTGCATGACGTGACAGAATCTCGATCTCGATAGAGACGTCAACCACGCGTCAAATTATTTGCCATATTTCGATAAGGTTTGAATCAAATTCAAAACTTTCTTCAAAAAAATTAATATTCCAAAATTTTAATATTGGTTGAAACGACTTAGGATAAAGGTAATTCATGGTAAAAATATAGAAGAAATCTAATTTTCAGTTCGAAACGCATGGTTCGTAGCGAGACAGCCACTTAGAGTCCATAAATTCTTGTCATTTGTTGTCACACAATAGACATACTGCTGAATAAACCATTGTCTCGCAATAACAGAAAATTATCTTGAGCCGGAAAAGGACAGAACGCAGTCTTCCAGAAACTTCCAGTCCTTATACAAACTTTTAATCAAAAGTTGCTCTGTAGCAACTTAAATTTAAACTGCGCATGATGCCCAATATGTCCAACTACAGTGGTATATAGATTTTCCACTAGTGTAAAAGTACATGTGCTTCCTGCACTGCAAGAAATTGAGTAAAATAGTGCACTCACATTGATCGACTCAAAATATTGAGTTAAAAATATTGTTGGCGGTCAAACGCGGGCGAGAGTTGCAACTCCCATCAACTCTCATCCTCGATTGACCAACGCTTTAAACCTATTTAAGGATTCCGTATTTTTAGGGATTTTACGCAACTTCCGTTTCTATCGCAACAATGACGTTTCAAAATTGCGTATATTTCGACTTTAAACTAATTTAACTCGTAAACAAAATTGGTGACTCCAAAATCTTATTCATAAAGTAATATGTATAATTCAGTATACTAAAAGAAATCATTTTACGGAATAACTTTAGGGGCTTATACCTCTCGTTTTTGAGTTGAATTAGTTTAAAAAGCCTGAACTTCCGCCTACTTGAAACGTCATGGTTACCATAGCAACAGCAGTTGCTTAATTTTTGTGTAATGTTTTATATCAGTAAGATACCTTTTGTTTTTCAAAATGTAATGATTGTCCAAAAGTACGGATCTAATTGTGAATTTTCCATCTTTTTAAAACTGTATTCAGCCAGCTTAAAGCTTAATTATGAATATCGCAAATTGTGTTTTGAACTTATCGTATATACATTTTCAGGTAAAGTTCGTGCAGCTGACGTATTCGCGGTTTTTATTCGTTAAACGTTTTAAGGTATGTGCATTTAATAGAATAATCTATTTTTGAAATGAACGTACGGATTTTTAACCGCGATTCAGAAGAAAATTATTGCGCGTTGCAATATTCACCATTACAAAAAATTTCACAAATTATTTCAAATGTGAAATTATGCGCAGCCTCGAAACAGTTAGTAAGCAAGTTTTCATTCATATCTACGTGTGAAGTCATCCACATGTTCACACCATTCAGGAAATGCAAACATTTTAGCTGACCGGATATAAATATTAGGTGGGATTTCAACTTCACGCAGTTGCTTCTCTTACATTCATAAACAGTGGCGAGTTAGCCATAGCAACAGGTCATAATGTGCTGGACATTTCTAATGATTTGCTTCATTCACACCTTTAGAAATGTATTGTATTTAACCTATACTTAGATGCAGGTTTATTAGCAAAGTATGACCAGTTGCCTTGGCTAGCTTCGCCACTGCTCATCGATCATTACTAAATTAAAGTGAATTAATTTTTATCCATGCGCCGTAAGAGTTTATTAATATGCTTTGTCAGGTATTCAAAACCTAATTTCCTCGTGAATTATTACCAGAAGTTTTTATCCGTGCTTGAATGTATATGTTTGACTTTCTGTCTGTCGGCCAGATAACTCTTACAAAAAACTAATATAACTTATCAATACAAAATGGACATCCCCCAAGGAGCAAACTCTTATTTTTTGGTCAATTTTGGATAAATATTAGACAGTTTGCAAACGTTTGTCTTGCTTTGTCGCGTTGATTAATTAAAATGAATGTGCGATTTCTTATTGCATAATTTATGCTTGATACAAACTTAATTTTAATTGAAATTAAAATTTGTCGTCGGAGGTACGCAGTCCCCGAGTTCTAGTTAATGATATATTCACTTAAAATAAGTACAACTGAATGGGAAAATTTTATTTCGATGTGTTAATATCAGTTAATAATTACTTTGTTATTTCCTTTTAACAGATATAACTTCCACTCCTAAAGATGGCAAAAGGAAAGGCTATGATAATAATTTGAACCATTCTTTGATATTTTCAATATATTAATTGTTAAAGTAATTTGTAAGGCATTAATTTGTAGATTCATAGAGAAATTATTTCGGTAGCTTCATCGTCTTATTAATGATTTCATGTATAATTTTTCTTTTGATTAACATAAACATTCATGCAAAATTCTTGTCGTTAATATCTCAGGCATATTGATGCCAGCGTCTGGCCAGATGATAAGCTAATTTCTCCAGGACCAAATGATGGGAGGACAATATAGATTGTGGGCGGGAGGGGGTTAGTTTTGCGTGAGGGTGGGTGGGTACTTGTTTAGGGGGTGGAGATTTGGGAGGAAGATGATAAAATTTTAGGGTGGGATTCTTACATATTTTGTTCTATATATAATTAACATTTAGCTCTTTGTGTGTATACGCCCTTCGTGGAAACCAGTTGTAAATAATTGTCGAAGTTAGCGTATTGAAATAAAGTTTTACATACATACATACACTTGGATGATATCTTGCGCGCATGTTGCACGCGCGATCTGTCTGTAATGCGTCTATTAGAATTTGCGCGCCTTGTGTGAGTATTCTAGTGAATTCGGGCGTTTGCTTCAAATCAAAATATAGTATATATGAGCGACAGGATTATTTTAGAATATACAATGCAAAGAGGTCTGTAAACTATTCAGTTTTGATGTAATAATTGGCTCTTTATATGTATGGCAATAAGTATTGTATCATTTGCGATAGCTGACCTTTGAACTGCTGATAACTATAAGTTTGTTATAGTGCGCTATGTTGCGATTATTACACTGACCTGAAAGGTCAAGTGTCTTAAATCCCTAATTTTCTGTTTTCTGTTTTCGTCGAGAAATGAAGTTTGCGTTTGCGCATCGCAGGCTCAGGGTGCGACGATTAATCCAAAATGCCATCGATTCAAATGCCATTCGATTCCTCGACTGTTTGAATTAGTTTTCATAGTAACAAGGTCCGTATTTATGTACGTAGTAGCCGGCTCATGCCATGCTTGTGGTACATCTTTCTTTATTAGCCCACACACTTGTACGCACGCGCACAATTACCAGTTCCAGACCTCCTGAGTCCCTATATCCATCAGAGGCCATGTGCATTCATGGATAACGTTTGTATTTGTGAGTAATACTTGTGTTTCATTGGGAATTACGAAAACATCTGCTGAGGATCACGCCACGCTTTTAGCATTTCACCGTTTCTTTGTAATATTGTACGGGATTTGTACCCCGGGAATTTATACAATAGAATGGAATATAAACAAGGACAAGTTAAAGTTTTGAATGTTTGACTACAAAATATTGTATGCGCAGAGTAGAATTGTATACTCAATGTGTTTGTATCATATGCAATACACATATAGTCATTCGCGCATCCGTAATGTACAGTCAATGGCGCGACATCCGTGATGGGTCCAAAGCTAATAAACCTGCTACTGATCGACTTAAGACGTTTTACCCTCAGACAATACATCTATAAAAAACGCGAAAACATTTACTTGCTACTGATAACTACAAGAAACATACATTTTATTGTGTTACTGAAGATTTGTTGCGTCAAACAATAACATTACTTTTAACTTCGATGCGAATTTTAATACAAGTAAGGCATGGTATCATATTTCATAATATAATGAACAATGTAAACTAGCCCTACATTTCGTCGAACATAACTTCGGCCCCTTTGGACATATCTTTTTCGTAATAGTATTAATGGAATCAGAATCCAAAACACTATTTATAATGTTATTTTCAAGCTTGTGTCTTACTTCAGATTTTCATCTTTTATTTCGGTATTTAAAGAATATTTATATTTTTAGCGCGTCCCATAGAGCGTACATCAAAACAACGCGCTGTTTAAATCGTATTATCGTAGGGGTCTAAAATTCGACTTAAGATGTTTTACCTTCAAACTGCACTTCCTCGGAAGTTGACTGGTTGGGGTTTTTTCGTGCAACGTCTCTGGAAATGCAATATCTGGATCGCAAGGAGTTTTTCGAATTTTATACGTTTAATATACGGACTCACGGAATGTAAACAATGTTAGCACATCGCATGCTCAGAGCTAAACCATGTGCATTCGTGGATAACGTTTGTATTTGTGAGTAATACTTGTGTGTTTATTGGGCATTACGAAAACATCTCCTGAAGATCACGGCCAGGGGCGGACATATCGATTTTGACTGGGAGGGTGTAATCACGAAATGAGACCGACTCACCACTGAAATGTGAATCCAGACCGACCCTTGGTGAGTGGGTGCGTTGCAATAAAATTGAGTACAAAGCATGGAAATTGATGGCATTTATTAGGAATTTTGCAAGAACACGTACAGTTTGCTGTGAAACGTTATATTTTTATTAAGTGTCCACGCTTAGTCAGGTTTGACCACGGATTAGCGATTTCGTCAAGATCGATCGTGTCTGTTAGATCGCGCTCACACGCAAAGAGTCGAGAGTTCACCTAGGCGTCTCTGGTTCATTACTGAACGCATAACAGTTTTCACTGATTTCAGCTTTGAAAAGCTGCGCTCGGCTGATGCGGATGTTACAGGAACTGTCAAGCGCGTAACTATAGGATTTTTGATTGACCCAGACACTTCTGGGGGGTCTGGGGGCATGGTCCCCCGGAAAATTTTTGATTTTCTAAGGCTTAGAGACGCTATTTTCTGCATTCTGGGAGCAGTTCAAACGAAATTTCATAAACAGTGACACAATGACTATAATTTTATACTGTAGTTTTCCCCCAATCCTGAGGCTAAGAATTATATTTTTGGTCGAACATCATTGATCAGGAGCATAATAAAAAAGTGTTTGTGCTCAATTGTTGTAATATTTGGGCGCTGGCCCGCACTTTTGTTATTGGGGTACTTGTGCACCCACACAGCCTCCCATTTCTTACGTCACTGTAGGGAAAGAATAATGCTTCTTTACATAGAGAGAACTACTGTCTGTCATTGAACTTGAATTCGATTGACTCATATACCTAGTTATGCCCTGACTACAAGCAACAATTGGAAACATCGCCTAGTCAGTGGAAACAATTTTTCGCTCCGTGATTTCAGATAAACCAGTGCGTTGTTCACTGATCGAATTTCTTGATTGCAGTAAGCACAAAAAACTCTTTGGTAACAAAATGCATATGCATATCGCGTTACATGTGAACATACTTCCTAAAATAACTCGGCTAGAAATTCGTTTTTGCACTTTACATCTGAAAAATATAGTTTAGGGACCGGAGAAATATTGTAACTAATGTTAGCTATTTTGATCAAGATTCATCGCATTTTGGAGTCTGATTTTGGGGGTTTGAAATTTTCGCTAATATAGAATATCACCCGTGAATGACCTTGCAGAATCTAAATTCCAAATAAAAGTGCCAACACGTAATCGTGACATAGAGATATCTCCATGTTTGGAAAGTAAATGAAAACTTCATCCCCTGGCGCGTGTTTTGACTGATAATTCGTTCATAAACTCGCGAAATAAGTACGTAATATTTCTTCATATTCTGAGCTGTTTGATCCGTTTGAGCAAATTCCAACTCAATACTCAATAGTCTGAGTCTATCTCGAGTTTCGAAAATATTTAATTTGCTTCGCAAAGCACTGCATGTAAACAAACGCATAATTTTGAGACCGACTGCACGTAGTTTGAGACAGACTGGATCATTTCTCTGGGGGAGGTGAACCCCTCCCCCCACATTTACGCCCCTGATCACGGCACGCTTTTAGCCTTTCACGCTTTGCGTCTGCGGTTCATGACTTGTATTCTTGTCTATTGCACCGTAGCTCGTATGTCGTCATTTTCGGGTCAGTGTGAACGCCTGAGCAGGCGTCTTGTTCAGTATTAATTGTTGATTGTTTCTTATTTTCAATGATAACTTGCTTGTGAATTACAAATTAATTATAGCACGTATAGTTCACTCGGTCTTTTCCACCATTGCATACTTCCCTTCAAGGTCTTCAAGTATTAGCTATGCTTCAAGATGAGCTTAGCTCTTGGAGAAAATGTTGAGAATAAAATATGTTTAAATAAAAAAAAGATATCGGCTTGATGCTGTTATTGGAAATATAATATCCCTTACAATAAGCGGCAGTCTGCTTCATTATGACGCGTGAAATTCATCACGCGAAAAACGCGTTCGACTTGCAGCAGGGTAATTTGACGACATTTTCCTATTTTTATTAGCTAAAAACATTAACAAGGGACAGAGTTTCCTGCGTTAAATTGGAAATCGTACATTTATTGGGAAATAACATTTAATGACGCGATTAACATTCATTTGATGCAGATCATCGTAATATAGCCGCAAAAAATAATGAAACGAAGCCTAAATGTAAACTTTTTCCGATTCATTCAATAACTGAACATGCAGTGATATTATGTGTTAATGATTATCGCAATTCTGCGTCCTCTCACACACGAAATATACTGCTGCAGAGCCTCTGAATAAAACGTATAATTTTTTATGTTGTTTTTCGAAATATACATCACGCGATCGTTGCCATGACAACGAAAAGTAGGTCAACTTTTAGAATCTCCTTTGACAAATCATATAAAACTTGAATGGTAATAATCAAGGCTTTAGTTATTTTCATTTCATTTCATTTTATTCCATTTCATTTCAACTTTTAGCTTCTCGACGAAGAACTTGAAACGTGAAAGTTCCTTGTGTTTTTACAGGTGCTAACTAGTCATGCTATGTAGTCTTTTCAGTGGCAAAGCTAGTCATGCCAACCGGTCAAGCTATGTTTAATAGAGCTACATCTAAATATATTAAAGACAATTCATTTCTAAAGGTTTGAATATTGCAAATCATTACAAATGTGGTTATCATGGGCTGTTGTTGTGGCTAGCTCTGCCACTGCGTATTAACAAAACCGCTCATCCTTCCTTTCACCCAAAGAACCGTGCCAATCTGCCGTGTCAAAACATTCAGGATAACGACTACATCCCTAGCAGGATTGCGACTACATTCCTCATTTTTTTGTGGAGAGAGGAGTGATGCGTAACAATTACATCTTTTATAGCGATTACTGTTGTGCTCTATTATCGAAATATAACTACCCTGGCACCGAAAGTTTGAATTGTATCTTTCTATCGTAGCAATTTTTCATTGATAACACACGTCCTTTAAGGCTTGCTGAATCTATTTAGGTAAGAAAAATTGGACTGAGAAACAGCCGTCTCAGCAAGCGAATATTTTAGACTTCGTAGTAAAATAAATAAGTTGTGGTGAAATCATTTAGATTTAAATACTTGCGGAAGCAAAGCAATAGGGCTTTTCTATGTAAGCACAGGGTGAAAACTAGCCTTGAGCTATAGCGTTACTTACAGGACTGGCACTTCTTGTAGAACTCGTGTAAACAGCGATTCATAATCGATTCAATGGGTCTTTTGCATGAATCCAAGCATACCAATAGTGCCATCCTGTCATAATTCAGTGATCAAAGTATTTTATTGTCTTTCCATTGTTTTGAAAATCCCACTGTTGTCCATGGCACCCAGTCACGATCCAGTGATTGGAATGTTCCATTGTCAAGTCATCAGATTGTTCCATTGTCGACAACGACAACAACAAATATTTACTATGACAATTAAATATTTACAATGACAATTAGTCCGCAAATAGCAAAAGCTAATCAAGGCGGACAGTTACAAATAATTAAATTAAAGATTTACATATAAATTAAAGAAATGTATATAGACTTTTAAAATGTAGAAAAGATCGAGTTACTTAAGAGAAATAATATTACATGATTTAAGATTACACAATTGCAATTTTGCATAAAACATAAACACAAAAAAGAATAAAAATAGGCGGCTACCTTTGCATGATAATTTAATTTATGTTTGAAATGTTTCATTTTATGTAGCGAGATCGACATAATCCTCCTCTTCAATGAGTATAGAAAGTAATATCTCATGCATATTTTCTCTTGAATTTGTTTTTAGAAGAGTTACCCAAATCATATAATATATACTATTCCATATCCTGACCCCTGTTCTTGAAAATGACTACGTAACTTATCCAAAAGCCAATTTTTGACATAGAAATTGCTGCCAGAAGAAAACGTATAGTGTTATATTAGTTAACTTTACGCCGGCTGAGATAAATAAGTTTGAAATATTTAAAGGCGTCATATTGTTATACATCGTGCATTAGCATAGAAACAGATTTGAATTAAAGCATATCGGTAGATAATATTTTAAGAGATCGCATGGGATGTGTACTTCCCAAAGTTCATTAGTCGAATAGTTTAAAAATCTTGTTAACTATCGACAATGGCATTTTGGCGATTTTACGACTTAATTGTTTATAACATAAATATCTCAGCGTGTATTCACCCCTCTTTAAAACAAATAACACCATTGAAATCCAATAAAATATAATTTCATGTATATTTTTAACCGCCGTGCCGTATATTTTTGTATTTGGTTTCAACAATATATTTTTATTAAAACTTTGTGATCTTGCTTTGTATTTACAGATTATAATTCCAAGCAATAAATACTGTCATAATATGTTATTCGAGCAAGTCGAACTGTCGAAATCATGATATATAAAACGACAACAAACTGGAATATTTACTACAGTCTACAGGCTACAATTAGAAGGTATGAATATTGTTTATAATGTATTGACTGAGACGGTATCAATATTGACTCATTTAGCAAATATTGATATAATCTCCAAAGCAAGTTCTATGACTATGGATTTGTAAGAGAGGAGAATAATTTCTCCTTTGTGTTTAATATTTATATTGTGCTATCAATAGATTCCAGACAACCCTAAATATGCATGTTGCTGAATAGGATATATGTTTGAATTATTATGAATTCAGGATGTATGTTTCTCATAATTTTTTCTGTGTTGGTGTCATGTACCCAGGTTGTCGTACTCACCTACATTGGGCTAGTATTCCAAAGGTCGTAGGTTCGATTCCCACCATGGCCAGGCATATATTTTTAAGCTTGCCCTGTGTGGATATATACTCAGAGTAACATCACAAACATTATGTTTTTCATATTTATACCTCTGAGGAATTCCAAGTTCAAAAATTATAGTGTACCCCTGATTGCCTTGAAGAAATATATCCCAATATGCTAAGCACTATACAGACCCTAATATGGCATAATACTAAATGAGTCATGTTCACATACCGTAAAAACAATCACTTTCAAAAGAAATCCATCGGGCGCAGAACACGAATATACGAATATCCCCCCCCCCACCCCAGCATTGTTGGTCTAGCTACGGCCCTGGTCAAGTTGTGTGTTTATATGGAACTGAGGCAGACCAGATACCATCTGGAGTTCATTGTAGTGTTGTGCCAACTGGCAACTACCAAGAAGAATTCATGATCCATGTTTACTTGAGACTTTTTAGGCAGCTCAGCTCCAAGTACCTGTCTTTATTGCTAAATAAGAGCTGTTTATATTGCCCTCTGAAAATGTACTACCGTACGGAACAGATAAAATGGCATTCTTACTGAATGTACCTGTGCTTGGAGAAAGGTTTGAAATGCTATGTACGGTACCGGATATCATATCCAGGCTCAGGGCTGCCGAGAGAATTTGTTGGGCCCGGGGCAAATCTTCTTTGGGGGCCTCATGACTAGGCCTTAGCTAGAATGCATGTGGAGCTACTGTAAGGGGTCCTCAATTTAAAGAATGCTCTAACCAATTTAAAGGACCTATTCAATTTTAGGCTCTCAACTCAAGTTAGGGCCCTATTCCCCCTCTTGGCGGATAGTGGATAGTAAAATAATCTTACTATCCAGTATTTTGGAAGAAACCATGCAGGTTTGACCTTTGAGATTTGTGAGCAAGGCTTTGGCAATACCTTGTTTAGAGTGAAGCTCTTTGCTATGATTTCACATATCTTTGAAGTCAAAGTATTATAAACACCCTCACTTTATAACCAATTAAAATAATTATTTATCTTTAAAAATGAAAGTCTAAACCTTATATTATATCAACAGTATTTGACCGGATATATTTCAACTATACGAAATAGCTGAAATCTGGCTGGATAGCAAAACGTTTTATCTGGTGATTCAGAATTGTAACTTGATCAATGTTGGAAATTTGTGGTTGAAAAACCAGGAGAAATGTATTCCCCGGAGAAACACCCCACTACTGCCTCATCTTCAAAATAAGTTAGAATTTTGAACAATTTTTATCATAGCTTTAGAGTTATGTGTTATAATATTTCCCTGGCCACTACCACGAGAATGAAATTATTTAATAATAATTAATATACATTAGGGATGCACCGCTTAAAGGATTTTGCCATCCAGCTGAAGACCAGATATGCTGAATAGTTGGAAAATATCCTACCAGATTCTCCGGCCACATACTGGATATAGAGTGATTATAAAATATATGTAGGATATTTAAAATGGGATATAGACTGGCTATAAAGTGATGTTGTTTATATAGAGAATAATACATGGGTGCGCAAGAAATACCAGATTTATTTCGAGTGTTGAACATGATATCTCACGAGTGAGCGCAGCGAACAAGTGAGATATCATGTTCAACACAAGAAATAAATCTGGTATTTCCAAGCACCCATGTATTTTTCTGTTTATTATATAAAGGAAAGTCTTTGAAAAGCGATAATTTTTACAGAAAAACGATAATTGAAAAGTGATAATTTTCACATGTGAGATTATCATGAATAATCTCACATGTGTGATTATCACTTTTATCAGTGCTCGAAATCTCTATAAAGCACTATACTTTTTATAATAAAATACAGTATATTAATTTGAAATGATAGGAAAGAACTTCACAATCAATTAAAATTAAAATGTCAAATAAACTATGTTTATTATTTACTGTAACTGAAAATGTTACTGCCAGAAAAGTTTATGCTCTTCTGGTTAATTGTTTAACCAGTCTCTCTGCCAATGCCCCTTATTAAATTGTAGCATGCCCCTATAAAAGTGTTACCTATTGATAGTTTAGCCAAACTTTCTGCCTAATTAAAATCTCAAATATTTACTCTGACACGTCACCAACGAAAGTACTATTAGATTGAGTTTTTTTTATCTATAAGTTGTTTGATAAACACATAAAAGGTGCAGTGCACTCTTCATAATATTCTGTAATGCAAAATAATTATTTTTCAAGAGAACGTGTTGGCCATGCATTAATGTTTAACGAAGGACAGTTACAGCAAAACATTTGTGGATTGTGTGCGCTGCTATATAGTGACGTGTCCTCATTTTTGACTGTGTCAAAGTGCCATTCAGCAAAGACTATTGGTTTTCAAATCACCTGTACTGGTAACATGAACTTTAATTCATCGCCAGAAATTCGCGTCATGCATAAGTGCGCATGCGCAGTCTAAAAAAACATGGCGTCCAAACATGACTATAAATTACTATATGAACTTCACAAAAAGCTAAACGGAAGTTTACCATGATAAGAATTCAAATTTGCGCAACTCTTTTGGAGCTGTACGCCATCAAATGATGACTTCAAGACATATTTGAGGTTTATCTGAGCAAAGCATATGTTTCCGACCAAAATGTGTACTTTACTGACATACTTGCTTAATAATTCCTATTAAATTCGTCGAATTCACGGTATTCATAGCACACTAGCAGGTAACTCGGGATCGTTAGTCAATTTGCACAACAAGAACATTGAAGTTGAACTTTGGAACAACACCATGATCCATTTTTCTACCAAATTGTGTGCTGTTGGATGTTTCCATTTAACGCATAAAAAACGATGTTTTGCACAATACAACAGGAAAACATCAATACTTTGCTTTCGGCACAAAAACATTGGATGCTCTGTCTTTGATGACAAAAATGTTTGCTTTAAAATTCATATTACTCGCATCCCAAGGTATCAAATTGAAGCTCGAAGAAAGCGCTTTCTGTCGAGTTGTAAAATTTGAAGCTGCGCTATTTCTGCTCAGCGTCCTATGCATTTGTATTTTACTTCCTGTTATTTTGTTTATTTCCGGTGCACTTTAGCGCGATCGTGCGCGAAATTCGAACAATATATCACATGTGGTTATGGCCAATGCATTGGAAAAATATTCTAAAACAAAATTTAAAAAAGATATAGTTGTTGATACTGAGCATTACTCGCCCTATATTCGAAAATTAGGCGATGAAGCTAAAGATATTCCCTTCACAATTCAGCTGCCTTGGGAACAACTAAACTCTTGGTATCAAACCAAGCAAAGCGAACTAATCGAATATTCATATGTGCAAATTTTAAATGCATTTCTATGTAAACGATATCCTACGAAGATTCAAGAAAACTGTCCCAGAATCGAGGAGAATTTGCGGAAAAGTTGCTCTCGGGCGGCACAGAAAATCGTCAGGACAAGGGGGAGAAAACGGGAAGATCTGTTCGGAAAAGTTACAAGTTTTGCTGTGCAACAGAACGAACTTGTAACAGCTCAAACGGTGAGTGTCTTGCAGAGTAATATAGAACGACTCGAAAGGGCCAACGCACAGGTTACAAGTCAAAATGCCCTATTAAATATCAAACAAAACGAGACGTCGGCGCTGGTAAACAAAATGCAAATAACAATTGATAAAGCTAAAGTGGACATAGATAAATTGAAGCAAGAAAATGAAAGTTTATATAGTGTCATTGAAAAGATCTCCCCTCAAAGAAAATTTGAGGACAAAGGGAAATGCATTACCGAGGTAGGAAAACGGCAGCAAGAACGCAAGCTTAAAACCTTGGAAACGCGAGTAGAACAGGCATTGTGGTTCAGTGAATCCTTTGGGCTAAAGTTAGACACAGTTAAATTGGTCGATCACTTGGGGAAACCGTATTCTCTCTCATTTGGAGAAAAAGGAAGGAAATCCTACAAAGATCTGCCCACTGAAGAGCAGCAAAAAATTCAGGAGACATTACATATCATGGACAAATTTTGCATCAGTGATGCTTCCTACCATGAACTGTCCTGTTGTCCAGGAGGAGATGAACTTCCTAGATCATATCTCATCAAGCAGTGCAAAGAAGACTTAAACAAACTCGTCTATATTGAAAGGACACCTGGAGAAGCAAATGGGGCTGCTCTTAATTTCCAGGATGAGTTAAGGGTGGTCATTGAAGGGATGGTAAGATACCTAATCCTTTTAAATATAATATGAACTATATATTTTGTAAAACAGGCCCATGTTGAGGAGCTATAAAGTAACCAAGTAAATTGAACCCCAAAATAAGTTTCAAATTGGCTGCATTCAGAATTTTAACCCTTTAAGTGGTAATGTGCCCAGATGCGCCCTACTTTATTATTTTACTCTGTCTAACACCAGATGATTTTACTCATCAGAGGAAGAGTGCCGCCACTCAATGGGTTAATTAAAGTACTATAAAAGTTTGCAACCTTGAATTTTAGATTGAGGCTGATGAGACACTAAAAGATGCCCACTTCAAGGTGAAAATCAGTGGTGATGGGGCAAAGATGACACGTCTAACAAACTTCATTATTATAAGTTTTTCAATCTTAAATGCTGAAGATACAGTAATGTCATCAAAAGGTATTACTTTATATTGTATAGACTTCATTTGTTAGAGTTCATGATTGCAAATATTAAATATTGTAGTCGAGATGCCTAAAACATTGAAAATTGCCCAATGACCATTTCAACAATCAAACTTTCAATCCAACTGTTTCATTCCAAGCTTAGCAGAAAATCACCTGTGATTACTTTAAATATAAAGTAATAATAAATCTATTTCTTTACATAAAGGAAATCATACCGTTGCTGTCATTAAGGGTCATGAGGACTACGCTCTGTTGAAAGAATCATGCTCCAAGATTTTTGATGATATAAATAAGTTAGCAAGTTCTGGAAAAATCAAAATTAAGGACAAGGATGTACCAATTGAAATTTTTGTGGGAGGTGATTACAAGGTACATGTAACCTATTAGTATCCATCATAAAGCTTTGGTCTTGTGAGGTAACAAATAGCAGGGATCAGTGTGGGCAAATCCTAGTATAAAAAAATTATTTGATATGATGCGACTTCTTGCAGGGAAAATATTGGTCACTATGGCTTGTCGCATTGTGTTGGCACCTCACATCACAGGGCACAAAATGTACATGTATGCGGTCCCAAACATGCCATTGGCCCCTGCAACTGTTAAAAAATTTTAAGCTTTTCCAGGTTTAAACTAATTAAAATATATATGTTTGTGTTTTTTAAGTTCCTGTTGTTGATACTTGGATTGAAAGGGGCCACCTCAGACTATGCTTGCATTTGGTGTAAAATACACAAGTTATTAAGGTAGATTATTAAAGTGCATCTTCTTACTGTGTGTAAAGGAACTATCTGATATACCAAATCATGAGATATATCTGATATCATGTTTGTCATTGTCTATTTAGGTGGGATATGTCCAAAACAATGGTTTACTGGGAAACACATGATTGCCGTTCACTCAAAGACATCAAAGATTGTGCCTTAAAAAATCAATTTTCTTGCCAGCACCAACCATTGCTGGAAGTAAAACTTGAAAATGTTGTATTGGATGAACTACATTTAATGCTTCGCATCACAGGTGATCATTATCTGTCTCATAAAATATTTGCCACTGTTTAATATATCCAATTCATCCCCAATGTACTCTCTCCCTTGTTTACCATATTCAGTTTAATTAAGTTGCACTCCTCAAGGGTGAGTGTTAGGCAATAGGCATTAATTAACCGATGCTAAGATGCTATTGCAATCAGATCTATTAAACGTACAAAGTTGTCCTTCAGTAGCATTATATGAATGTTGTTGGTTCAAGTGAGGCCAAAAGCTACTGTTAAAAGTAAAGTAAATTTTATTTTAAAACTATAAAAATATAAGTAAAGGTGATCTACAGTCCGATCTGCGCATGTGCACAAATGAGCCCACTTTTTATGATACAAACAATTTAACTATGTTTTGAGTTCTTGAAAAGCCTGGTTGCTGTTTCTTGATCATTTATTATACTCCAGAAGCTTGAAAATATAAATAGTTGTCGAATAAAGCTCAATATTTTGGATACAAACAAAGGCTTTGTTTACATACGGACTGTAGATCACCTTTAAAATAAAATTTCCGCCTACTTTACTTTACTTTTAACAGTAGCTTTTGACCTCACTTGAACCAACAGCAATCAGATCTGTACGTTTGGATCTAGCGAGATTTCATCAGTTATTAACCTGTAGGTCATCATATTTTAGCAAACTTGGCTCTGTTTTATTACAATCTCAAAATTGACATACCTTTAACTTGATTGCCTGCAAGTATGAACACTGCAACATCACTGATGTATTAAAATTCACTGCAAGCCATATTAGTATCTTATACAGTCAACAACTAGGTTACTAGAAAGATATCTTTATTGTAATAGCACAGGTAGCCCAACAATTGGTACAAAATACTTTATTGATTCAATTATTAATGAGTACCCCCCCCCCCCAATTCTCAACTCTATTCAAAATAGCATTTTATATTTAATTTGTATTATATTAACTATTGTAAACTTTTATCTCTCTGATTTCATCAAATATTGTAGATGTATTGACTAAAAGTTTAATTAATGAAGCTCTGGAGTGGGACGTAAAAGATAACACCCATAAAGCACCAAAGGATAGGACAAGCAAACACTTGTCAGACCTTATCAAGTGCATCCAGGAATGTGGTGTTTCATTCAATGTGTGGGAGAAACGGAATGCAGATGGAAAAGGAAGTGGGGTACATGACTTTACCAGTTTGATGGGTTCAGGCAAAAAGTTATTGATGAAGCATCTCCCTGATAAATTGAATGGTGTAATCAAGCCAAAAAACTGCGACTCTGTTGTCAAGATCTGGAAGGTGATAAAAGTGCATTGCAAAGCCAACTCGCAACTGTTGAGTGCTTACATATTATTATAATATATGTAGGCGCTGAACAATTCCTTAATTTATAGGACTTTTACAAGATTTATCGAATGATGAATGAGTGTGATCCATCACCTGATAGAATTGAAGAATTCTTTGAACTGGTTAGTACCATACAAATTACTATCATGTGTATTGCAAGAGCCTGTCATTTTCTTTGATTAACCCTGATTTTGTTACCAAGAATCCCTTTGAGAAAAAGCAATGAAAACTCAAATGAATTGTTGGTAGACAAACTGAGGGTTAATAAAATTGTCTACCATAGCTTTTAACACAGTGTAACAATATATTGTACAACAGTTGAGTTCTTTTTAAAAATCAAAATTTACATTATTTTATACTAGGCAAGTGCATGGGGTAAGCTTTTTGTTTCTCTTGGTGGCGAAGTTAGTGGATTTGGAAAACAACATGTCACACCATATATGCACTGCTTGGTGTACCATGTCCCAAACTTTATGCTGAGACATAATGGCATACGAAAGTTCACAGGGCAAGGTAATAATGATTGCATTGTAATCCTAATTTCAAATCACACTTATACCATGTTGTTTAACATCAATTATATGTGCACTTTCTCTTTTTGTGTGTACAAAGGGGTGGAGAAAAATAATGATGATGTCAGGAAATTTCACCTGACAAAGTCTAACAAATGGGATGCACCTAAAGATATTTTGCTTGTTAGCAAGCGACTGCAGTTCACCAGTCAACATGAGCGAGAACCAAGGCCATATATGAAGAGAAATGGTGAATACTGGTCAACTGAGATCAAAGAGGCAAGAAACAAACGAAGAAAGTTGTTTGACACCCCATGTCCAGAATCGCAAGCTAACAATCCAGCAAGTGTTTTAGATATCAATGGTCTTTCAGTTCTTGAAATTAAACAAAAGCTGAAGGAACTAGGAGTTAAAACACGAGCCCGAAAATTAGAAAAATTGCAAGAGATTTTGAAAAGAGCACTTGAAGATCAATAATCTTCCAAATTTTAATGTATATAATATATTATGTTGTGTTATAATATTGGTTCACTCTGTAATATGATAAGATGAAATATATGTATATATATAAATAATTTGTATTTATGTTCTGGAGTATATATGTATAGTCTTTCTAACAAACAATGCATGTTGTTATATAGTTAGTGTCAAAGTTCAATTTTCTGTTTTCAGATTGGACAAAAGCATATCATGTGCCGGCCCGCAAAATGCCATGTTTACTGCATTGCCCTGGCAACAAGGCAACCAGTCCATAATAGAACATTTATTGACCGGTAAACAATAGAATGGGGGCAGCACACCAACCGTTAAGTTCAAATATTAATTTGATTAAACTTTTTTATTAAAACATTTACGGCATCCATTTATCTAGTTTTGGTTTCAAAGATCACTCCAATAACCGGTGAATTATTCATACTTTGACACTTATATACTAAATAACAAAACACTTATTTACTGAGACCTCGGGAAAGCAGTGTGTTTTGTGGCCCCTCGACTGCCGATGTCGGTCTTGCGTCCACAAAACACACTGTTTCCCTTGGTCTTAGTAAATAAGTGATAAATATGTTATGACATTACACAAAAAGGTTTCTCTCGTTGCATGGCAGCCGAGAAAAGTAAATAGAAATTTTCTCAATGGGAAACCTTGGTCCTTCCACAAGCTTCTTCCCATCAAAAATATGTTTCTTTGGTGACCAAACTACAACTGCTTTAACTGCAATGGGAAAGTCCACCTTTTTACCTTCTCCGTGTTCATTAAGGTAATACCACCAGTCGGAAGGAAGTATTGAGAGACGAACAAAATCATTTCTCTCTAATAAATGATGGCCTTTATGCTCGGATGGTCTCCCCTTTCCCGAAGTGACATAACGCCAGCAATCATGCTCAAGCTCAATGTAGCCCTTTGCCAATGATCTTGACTTTAACATTGACAGAATGCCACATGCAAATGCTCTGGCAGTGCTCTCTAATCGACTGTCAGAAGGCTTTGGTGGTCTTTCATACCCACTAGAAAACATAATATAAGCATAATTTTAAATTGCTATTATGCATGAGAGAAGTGTAAAGAAACAGAATAATGTTTTAGTATTATACAGTAATACAGTATTATAAAGAGTGTTGCCTTAAAAGCCTTTATTCCTTACCGTATTAAATTGCCTGGCAAATGATCAGAAGGCTCCCAAGTACATGTGTGTAAAGGCCACCCAGCCCATTTAATAAGATATAGATAGTCCTAATAAAATAATAAAAGAAAACGTTAGTCACAATAGTTAATAAATGCCATATTGTCAACCCAACACTAGTTTTCTAAACAGAAATTAGCAGTTGAAATTTCAACCAAATTCGCCACAATACTTACGCGTTTCTGTTTTTTTCTGCTGATTATCCTTTCTACTTCGTAAATCTTGCCCTTTTTCCTTCGTGGCGCAGTATTATGGTATAAAACAACAGAACTAAAATTGTCTAGTTGCACGTAGTCTACTCGTGTTGACAAACGCTTCGACGCCATTTTGAATTTTCTGACGATTTACCGCTGACAAAATATTGGCTCAATGTCGCGAATTTCTGGCCATGGCCCTCTCCATGTACCCAAATGCTGGCATAATATTAGTAGGGGATTTTAACAAATGTCCAGTTTCCACAATACTCAGACATTTTACTTTAAAACAGATTGTTAAACAACCTACGAGAGGGAATGCTATTTTGGATTTAATTTTCACAAACATGTCAGACTTTTGTAACATCCCCTTGGTAATCCCACCCTTTGGGCGCAGCGACCACAATTCAGTGTTATGCTCATATAAGGAAGGTTCACATATTGATAACAGTAGATTACTGAAATGTTTATCCTCTGTAAAGATTTTGAAATACAAATACAAATACAACTAAAAACACCCACACGAAAGTAAAAATCAGACAGGGAAATAATGCTGCAAAAACTGCTTCTGGAAAGTGGTTAACCGATTTTAATTGGAACATTTTATACCGCACTATTTCTTGTGAACAAAAATTAGACCTCTTCCAAGACATCATAAATGCCGGATTGGATTGTTTCCTTCCGATAAAAACTGTAAAATTACATGACAATGACAAACCTTGGGTAACTCCTGAATTTAAGAAAATTATCGGAGCCAGACAAGAGGAATTCCATCATGGAAAAAGTCCACATTATCAGCAGTTACGAAATCAGGTAAATAGAGAAAGTAAGAAGCTCAGATCCACATTTCTTGAGAAAAAGTTAGAACACTTAAAGCTAAACCCTAACTCAAAAAAGTGGTGGCAATAAATAAAACAGTTATCAGGATATCCTAAGAAGAAAGTTCTTTCAACTCTTGTCGTGGGAAATCAGGTGATGTCAGGAGAAGCCCTGGCCGAAAATATTAATGACGCTTTTGTTTCAGTTGCCAAAGAAATCCCTCCTTTAAATCGTCATCATATCGACATTTTACCAGAAAACAGCCATTATGACATTTCACCAGAGTTTATCATTAAAGAAGAAGAGGTATACCATAAATTATCCATTATATCAACTGCTAAATCTCCTGGTCCAGATGGAATACCAAATTGGGTTCTGAAGTTCTACGCTTGTGGAGTTGCTTCCCTTGTTGCATCAATTTTTAATGCTTCCATCCAACAAGCGACTGTTCCGACCATGTGGAAAAAAGCCAATGTCATCCCAATTCCAAAACTAGCTTCGCCTGAGGACATCACCAAAGATTTTCGCTCCATTTCGCTTACACCTACCCTGTCTAAAACCTGTGAACAGTTTGTTACCGATTGGCTAATTGAGTATATAAAGGAAAAGATTGATAGACAACAATTTGGTTCCTTAAAAAACTCCTCGACAACTCATGCCCTATTAAGCTTCGTTCATCATGTACCTGTTATATGAAACTGATACATCAAAAACCGCTCTAAGGGTTTTTTTGCTCGATTTTTCGAAAGCTTTCGATCTTATAGACCACAACATCCTACTGTACAAGTTATATGAAATGAAGGTACCAGCGACAATTACAAACTGGATTAGAAGTTTCCTTTTCGAACGCAAACAACGCATCAAGCTAGATAGCTAACTGTGTATCAAATTGGCAAACCTTCATGGGCGTACCGTAAGGAAAAATTTAGGGGGGCGGAAAGAAATTTGCCCGACTTTTCCGGATTTTGCCCTACAAGTACCGAAAAATTTTTTACGCCAAAAAAATTTCGGTCAGTGTACCATTTAAGGGGTCAAAAAATTTTTCCGGACATACCAAAACTTTCCGCAACCTAACAAAAATTTTGGAAACATCACGCCCATGCAAACCTTAAACGGAGGTGTGCCACAAGGAACATTCCTTGGGCCAATACTTTTTCACGTTATGATAAACGACCTTCTCACAGACTGGAATAACAGATGGAAATACGTCGACGATAGTACTATCACTGAAAGTATTACACCGCGGATATCAATAGCATTCTCCAAGAACTTGTGGATACTATTTACAATTGGACCATCGTTAATAATATGAAACTGGACATCAGTAAATGCAAAGAATTGATAATAGACTTTGCAAAAGATAAACAGGAATTCCCACCTTTAATTATAAATGGCGTTGCTGTAGACCGTGTATCATCAGCTCGGGCTCTGGGACTAATTGTTCAGGATAATATGAATTGGAACGAACACGTAAACAATGTTGTCAAAAAAGAAGGGAAAAAATTTTAAATGCTGAGAGTGCTGAAACGATCAAACGCGGATACGAACACGTTAATCACTGTATACAGCACTATTATTAGGCCTGTCCTTGAATACGCCTGCCAAGTCTGGCATTTCAACATCCAAGAGTATTCGAGCGAAGACATTGAAAAGATTCAACTGCGTGTTTTGCGAATCTCGTTGCCATTAATGAGTTACAGAGAAGCCCGGAATTTTGCTGCTATCCCTGTACTAAAAGCAAGGAGAGAAACATTATGTGAACAATTTTTTAAAAACAATGAGAATAACGATAAACTAAGCGAACTATTGCATCATATATAAAGCAACAGCAGACTACGATATGCGACCAAGATGCAAGTATAACAATTATCTATGTAGAACTGAACGTTTTAGGAAATGGTTTTTCCTCAAATTAATTCCAAACAAACAGTAAATAACTGAGTGGAAGTAACAGTCTCAGATATGGAGGATTTTGTCAAGCCATTGACAAGAAGGACACCGGACAAGATGATCTTACACGTCGGAACAAATGACCTGAGAAGTCATTCTACGCCGAAAATAATAGCAGACTCCATTGTCAACATTGTAACACAAATAAAAGAAGATTCACCAGGTACAGCCGTTGGCATTTCAGCTATTCTGGTAAGAAATGACCTAGCTGCTAAAGCTATTCAAACTAATAATATTCTTAAAAGCTATTGTAGTCGCAATATAATCCCCAGGCTTTTTAAGTAATTCAAATATGAATGCAAGTCACTTAAATATGAGGGGTCTTCATTTAAATAGACAAGGTAGTTTAGCTTTACAACAAAACTTACTAGGTTTTGCAAAAACTATTTCAGATTGACTTTATCCTACTCAGTCCGTTATTCCTAACTCGCGCGGGTTTAAGCTCGCGGCACTTAATGTGAGAAGCCTAGTAAATCATATTGATGAGCTGCGAGTTTTGCTTGCTACTAGCCCGATCGATGTCCTAACAATAAATGAGACATGGCTTAATTATACAATAAGCGATAACGATGTATATTATACCTGGATACGAAATCATACGTCGTGACAGGGCATTTAGAAGTGCAGATGGAAAAACGTATGGAGGTGTTTGTTTTTATGTACGCTCCAGCGTAAATTTCATACAGCGTAAAGACATGTCTATTGATAATTTAGAAAATCTATGCATTCAAATTCAAAAACCAAATTCTAAGCCATTTCTCGTTGCGACATGGTACAGGCCAACAAATTCGAATGTTGATAAATTTAATTATTTTGAGACATTTATTGACATGCTTGATGCTGAAAATGTCGAGTACTATTTATTGGGTGACCTAAATTGTGATCTCGGGTCGCCTGATTTAGAGAGTAATTCGAGATCATTAATAGGCATTACTGAGCTCTATGGTTTACATCAATTGATAAGTGAACCGACTCGAATTACTGAAACTTCCTCAACTATGATTGATCATATATTCACCAATACACCAGATAAAATTGTTTGCTCCGGTGTTTCTCATGTCGGTATTAGTGATCACAGCTTAATATATGCATTCCGTAAGCTTTCAACCGGTCTACACAATAAAGGCCATTCTACAGTAAATTATCGAAAATTAAAAAATTTTAACTCTGAAAGTTTTCGAAGTGATATCTTTTCACAGAATTGGGACGTCATAAGGGCGTATAATAATCCGAATGATATGTGGCGTGTGTGGAAAACGACCTTTAATAACGTAGTGGAAATGCATGCTCCTTTACGGACAAGGCGGGTAAGACTTTCTAAGTCGCCCTGGATCACGCCTGAGTTAAAAAGACATATGCATGAAAGAGATATTTTAAAAATCAAGGCTATTCGATCTAAAGATATTTATGACTGGGCTGCTTTTAAGAAAGCTCGCAACTCTGTGAAAAATGAAATTAAATTTGCGAAGAAAGCCCATTAAATGAATGCTTTTCATGAAAACGAGAGTAATGTGAAAAAAACTTGGGGTATTATTAATGAATTAACCTCAAGAAAACAAAATAATTCACATGTAAAAGAGATTAAACTAAATGGTTCTTCAGTTAGTGACCCCCCGGGGTTATCAGAGACGTTTAACACTCATTTTGCTAGCATTGGACCTAAGCTTATGGAGAAGATACCTTGTGATGAAAATAACTGCTCATATTTAGAATATCTCAATTGCCATATTGGTGGTAATACTTTTGAGTTGAAGTCGACAACTTCATCAATGGTTTGTTCACTTTTGGACAAACTCTGTAAATCTAAAGCAACTGGCCTAGATAAAATATCTGCTAAGCTTCTTCGCTACTGTACTGACCTACTGTCGGAATCCCTTACCGTAATTTTCAATTGCTCTATTAATACCGGTATCTTTCCTGATGAATGGAAATGCTCAAAAGTCATTCCATTATTTAAACACGGTGAGCGTAAGGACTTGAATAATTATCGCCCAATTTCGATAATCCCTGTTGTAGCGAAGGTTTTCGAGCGAATTATTTATGATCAAATCTATGCCTTTCTTACTGACAACAATTTACTATGTAATAGCCAGTCAGGGTTTCGATGTCTACATATATTCAACTGTCACCACGCTTCTTGAGTCCACCAGTAACTGGGCATACAACATTGACCAAGGCCGAGTTAATGCTGTAGTTTTTCTAGATCTTAAGAAAGCGTTTGACACAGTTAACCATGGAATTTTACTATCAAAACTGAATGCGTATGGTCTTGGGGGTGCTGTGGGGAATTGGTTTAAGTCTTATCTAAGTGACCGCAGTCAAAAATGCTATATTAATGGTCACCTTTCTAACAATCGTACGTTACTCTGTGGTATTCCACAGGGGACTATTTTAGGACCATTGTTATTTTTACTGTATATAAATGACTTACCAAATTGCCTTGAGCACTCCCAAGCACGAATGTACACGGATGATACTAATTTAACATTTGCAAGTAACAATATTGACGACATAAATTATCACCTTAATCATGACCTTGCAAACGTGAACAAATGGCTTATCGCCAATAAGCTTACTCTAAATCAATCCAAAACTGAATTTATGCTAATTGGCTCACGACAAAGAATAGCCACATTTCGATCAGTTCCATGTTTAGAAATAGACGGGGTTCCTATTGACAATGTTTTACAAGCAAAGTCTCTCGGAGTGTACCTTGATGAGAATCTGTCTTGGAATATACAAATTAATGAATTAACAAAAAAGATTGCTTCTGGTATTGGCGCTTTAAAACGTGTTCAATCATTTGTCCCTGTCGTAACATTGCAATTAATTTTTAATTCCTTGGTTCAGCCATATTTCAATTACTGTTGCACAGTTTGGGACAATTGCAACAAAACCCTAGCTGAAAAACTTCAAAAACTACAAAATCGTGCAGCGAGAGTACTAACATTCTCCAGTTATGACATTAATGCTGATGGTTTAATTGAGAAACTTGGCTGGAAAAAATTAGCATCCCAGCGCCAGTTTCAAAAAGCTGTCATGGTCTATAAATCATTAAATGGTCTTGCTCCTGATTACATGCATTCCATGTTTGTAAACCTTGACAGTGTTAATCCTTATTCGCTGAGAAACACTGAGAACAAACTAGCTGTTCCCAAGCCCCGCACAAACTATCTCAAGAATAGCTTTGGCTATAGTGGTGCGGTGCTGTGGAGCAGTCTTCCGATTGGGCTACGGCAAGCAAATAACTTGATAAATTTCCGATCGGGCTGTGCCAAATTATTTTAACTTTCCTTGTATATATTGTTATATTAGCTTAGTACACGGCCCTCATGAAAAGCAGGTATTATATTTTCTATTTACTTTAGCGTGGTTCTACTTTTGTAATTTATCTAATTTAGTTTGTTGCATGTTAAATCCTGATGAGAATACCGTGTGTAAATAAAGTTTTAATAATAATAATAATAATAGGCCTATTGTTTTTTGCTACTTTTGAACTCTTAATATTCTTAATAATGTAATATAACGATAACTTGATACTTTTTAACAGTAGATACAAATTTTGTACATTTCTGGTGTAATTTCACCTATTGGTTCCAAAATCAGTTTTAAATAAATTATTATTATAAATTCGATGGGTAGCATTTAAGCTTGCGCAATTACTAGGCAAAGTTTGAAGACCCATATCTTCTCAATCACGCAATTAATCAAAAATCCCCACAAACCAGTTGAGGAGAATTCTTTTAAGAACAACATAAATTAATTTCAGAGCAAAAAACAAAAAAAAACCGCTTGCAACAAAGCTCTGAACTTACACCATAACATTCCCAAATGTTTGTTTACAAATTGCATGTGATGACGCGTTTCATGCATTCTGATTGGCTTAGAGCAAGAATGTAAACAAAAACGCTGATTGATCGAGAACGAAATTCCCCCTTGTTAATAAGGACTCATTGTATTTTTCCATACCTTGTAAAGTTATTATACTTACCCTTCTACAGCCTCGTTGACTTCTTCAAGTGTTGACAACTCGGAATCATTTAAAGGGCAAATGATATAAAATATTATCTGACTGTAATCACATGTTTAATTGAACAATTTGATTTTATATTAAAAAAAATGGCGAAAAAAGCCCCAAAACTGTCGAAAAACCACGATCTGCAAGAAACGGCAAAAGATCTCCCTGGCGCTCCTCGATTTTTGCTGCCTCAAGCCTATAAACCCCTGCACTTGTTTTCGTTGCGATGCACTACTTTATAGACCTTTCATATAGTGACTCGATCGTATGAAATTTTTTTACTAGCGCCTGGGGTCGAGGCAGGTCCACTAATATATTTTTATTTACATTCGATTCTACACATTCGACACGTGGACAGTGCATGTTCATTATCATTGTTATCTAGGATATATTGTTATTGTTATGTCAAATTGCGCAAAATTACTTCGTTTGTTTGTTTATAATATAATACAGCTAGGGTGTATAAAAAAAATGTACACCCTTTCAAATTCAAATTAGCCATAACCTCTTTTAAATATTCGTTGCTCTGCAGTAAGCTGGCTTATTTTATATCTTATAAGTCCGCCGCACACGAGCGCACTTGTCGCGCGTACTTGTTATTCGTGACAAGTTAGATCGACAAAATTTCCTCGTGTGCGGGCAACATTTACGGAATTTTCGTCATTCGTGACATGTAAACCAAATATCAAACATCTTTGATATTTTTCGTCATTCGTGACAAAAAATTCTCGTGTGCGGCGAGCAAACGCGCGACAAGCGCGCCTGAATAGGAAAATTTGCGCATGCGTGCAACTTGCAGAAACATTTTTGCATTTTGCAGAAGAACGTGTTATAACACGTGTAGCTCTATTTTGAAGTTAATTTGCAATTTATCACTCAATTTACTACCAATGCCATCCCAAACAGGAGCGCAGTATAGGAAAGTTGTACGCATGCACAAATTTTCCTATTCAGGCGCGCTTGTCGTTTGCTCGGCGCACACGAGAATTTTTTGTCACGAATGACGAAAAATATCAAACATGCTTGATATTTGGTTTACATGTCACGAATGACGAAAATGCCGTAAATGTTGCCTGCACACGAGGAAATTTTGTAGATCCAACTTGTCACGAATAACAAGTACGCGCGACAAGTTCGCTCGTGTGCGGCGGGCTTTATGCAGACTTGAATAATGCTTAATTTAAACACTTTTCTTTGAGTTGTGCTGCATGTATTTGTTCATACAAATAGAAGTAGATTAATTTGAATTTGCCGGAAAGGTGTAATTTTTTACTGTGCTGAGTGGTTATATTACTACTTTATTACTACCTCAGCACAGCATTTTCACATTCCTACTACCCACATTGAAAAATAAAGTCGCCTGGTTCACATATATACTTAAGGTATGCCGGCGGGCTATTGCTGTTACCAATCAACCAAATAAATCACAAAAGATTGATCAACAGCTGTAAACGATGATACCGCCGGCATACCACAGGCATATGTGAACCAGGTTTTATATCAGGTTGTGCATGACAGCTCTACACGCTCCAACTTCACATTTTCCCGTTGATCTTGAATGAACTAGGAACTAATGAGTTTTACATCGCTCCGCTCAAGATACTGATGCTAACTAGGTAAGAAACTGGATTGATATTAACCCACCAAGCCTGTCAAAAGACATAAAAAAGTCAGACTGATTTAGAAGCTATCAATTTATTTAGGTGCCAATAACGAACCATGCAGTTTCCACCATGATGCATGAGTAAAAACCATACACAAGTATGAAGTTTCTTTAGAATGCTAAATACTGACGTTTTAGTCTCAAAATATTTCCTCGAACTAGAGGTGATGTAGCCACTAGACCACTTCCCAACAACTTTTAATAATTAAACGCGAGCCTTTTGAGAGTGAATTTGATTTAATTTTATGGTTTTTTAACTTCGTAGCTATTCTGTAGACATACTGAAATAAAGTCGTTATTTTTGAAGGATGGTGTGATAACTCGTGCTGATTATGGTCATGATCAAGAAATACAACGAGCTTGGTATGCCAGATGAAAACAAACAAGAATTATCTGACACCATGTACGGGATGTGTGATTCCTTGAGTCTTACAGATTACACTAAGTCCTTGACTTACGACGAGATAGTGCAGTCTTGGATTGATAACGTGGAGAAGGGAGGTGGCTTTGCGACGTACCGTTGTTTACGATAAGATATTTCGAATTGTTGACACAGACAGAAATGGAAGTTTATCTTTGAAAGAGTGGGAAATTCATTGCACGGCTATTAATATCCCTGTGGAGCATGCTAAACCATCGTTTAAAGCGATGGACACTGATCGAGATGGAGTGATCTCTCATGATGAATTTCTAGCTTATCACTATGAATATTTTCATACAAGTGAAGATAAACTACATAGTTCTCTTTTGTATGGACCATTACAGTAGAACAATTATTAAGGCACTGGAACGCCAAGAATTGTGACAATCCACGTAGCATGAGAACAAACTAATATAATAAATTAGAAATCTGATTAACGGAACGAAAATCTTACAATAGCTAAGTAGCATTATTACTAACATTATTACTAATACATTTCATCCTTATCATCATTACTAAATTTTGAACAATTAAAAAATCCAAAGGGAATAAAAAATTTTCATATATACATAGAGTACCATTGGTCCTTTAATTATACAGTCGAATATTGTCCAGAGTATGGTTGTATTTTAGTTTTTAAATTTACGTAGTCGCAGAATTTGTCGCTAACGACCCTAAGCGAAATTCCACAATTATGCATGTGATGCTGTAGCATAATAATCTGATGGACCTGTAGCTTTGAATCCTCTGAGACTAAAGCAACAGTTCTATATGCAGCAATTTTCAGTAATCAATTGCAGCAATCAATGATAAAAATAGGATAATAATTTATATATAAGATCCTTAATGACCAACCTTAGACCTAGTGGGAATTATAGCTAATCTGCGCAATACTAGATAGATAGATTGTTTGTTTGTTTAATAAGATTAACACATAGCAGCCAATAAGGCTGAATTGCGTGCTAAATTTTACAAGAGAAATGATTAAAATTAGTTATTCTATATTTACAGAAGTTTAAAATTACATTACAATTTATAATTCTATATTACAGAAGTTTAAAGTTACATTACAAATTAGCTATGAAACTAGTAAATTTCTAAAAAAATGTTAGCCAGTCTAAAACTGAATATCAGAATCGATTGTCAGTTAATATTATTGATATGCCTTGCAGATGAAGGGAAAAAACTGTTTCTAAATCTGTTCGTTTTGGTCTGAGGAACAACAAAAGACCTTGAGTGTCTAAGGTCGTAATTTGGAAAGTATCTAGATGGTACATGATTATGCATATTAGCTACTGGTGTTGTGGTGATTTCATTAAACAGTTTCTCGCATGCATCCACACGCCTGTCGCTTAATGGTTTGATGCCCGATTTTTGTAAACAATCCGGATAACCTGTCAGTGGATAGATGATTGATAAAACACGCTTTTGAACCCGTTCCAGGGCATTAGATAAGTAGGAAGGAAGGGCGAAGTGGAAAACTTGACAGCTGAATTCCATGACTGGTCTGACGCAGGTAGGGTAAAAATGTATTATGTCAGCTTCAGGTACATGAGCACGTTTCAACTGAATAATAAAATAAATCCGTTTGTTCGCCTTCTTAACTATGTTAGTTATGTGTTGGTTCCATTTTAGATCTTTAGAAATTGTCAAACCTAGGATTCTTGCGTGGTTCACTGTCTCGATTTGGCCTGAGATGATCTTAAGGCGCGGAAATTCTTTCTCAGGTTTTGTAAAACTGATAACAAGTTCCTTGCACTTGGAGGCATTTAATTGCATCTTGTTTTCTACAGACCAATTTTGAACACAATCGACTGTATCTTGAATTTTACTGGGTGTGTTGATATAAATGATTTCAGATACCGTAGCATCATCGATGTATTTCCATCGCTCATGATGTGGGGGGCGTAGGTCATTTATCATTAGGATGAATAACCAAGGTCCCAATTTGGTTCCTTGAGGGACACCGGAAGGAATGTCAATCCATTCAGACATACAGTCTCTTGCAAGTTTCACCCGTTGTTGCCTGTTCATCAGAAAGTCAATTTCCCACCGCTTAATGGAATTTGGCATTGGCAATTGGATGATTTTCGTGGCTAAGATCTTATGATCAATCAAATCGAAGGCCTTTTTATAGTCAAAAAGAACCACTCTTACAGCGTTTCCAGTTCCATCTGTGGCTTGAGTCCACGCATGAACCATAGAAATTAAGGCTTTTGTAGCAGATGATCGAGGGATGCCACCAAATTGAAAAGGATCAATTGACGACAACACTGCTGGAGCGATATATTTTTCAACAACAAACTCTTCTGCAAGTTTAGACAGAACCGGAGTTAGCGAAATAGGTCGGAGCTGTTTGCTTATGTCTTTAACAGGTTTCTCTTTCGGAATAGGTGTAATGTTAGCTTGTTTCCAGCATGAGGGCAGTCTTTTTTGCTTGTAGGACGAATTCAATAAGTCCGATACAGAGGGAGCAAGGATTTCGGCATAATCTCGAAGAATCCAATTGGGGATATCATCAGGGCCCGGAGCTTTATGCGGGTTCAAGCTTTTCAGTTTTTTCAAGACCGATGCAGTATTTGTCAAATTCATGTTTACATCTAACGGATAATCAGGAATCTCCTCAAACAAGGTGTTCAAATCTGTGACATTTAAGGGATCATAAGTATTCATTGGTTCTATTAGGCTTTTGTTAATTAAATCTGCAAAACCTTTGTGTGTTAAATGTTCTGTATCTTCGACATGAAGTTGGTTAAGCAAACTGCCAGATACAGGTCTCATACCGGAGATACGTTTAACCTCTGTCCACCAAGATTTGGGGTTAGACTTTTTCAGATTAGCAACTTTTGAAGCAAAATAGTCTGCCCGGCAAGATTTTCTCATTCTATTCACTTTATTTCGGTAGAATTTGAAAAGAGTAGTGTTATTAGATGAAAACGCACGTTGTCGAAACTTGATCAGTTGTTTCAATTTTTCGGTTATCCATGGGTTGTCGTTGCGATGGAATTTAACGTGTTTCTCAGGCATAAGGATGTCATAACCCGTCTTTATTGCGGAGCATAAGATATCACAATTCTTATCGCACGGTTCGGAGGAATCGATAAGTTGCCAGTCAAAGTTACTCAGATATCGACCAAGTTCTTTTTTGCGTGATTGACGAATGTCTCTTTTTATTACTGTCTTTCTACTTGTGGTTTCTGATGATGTTTTAACTTTGGGCTCAACCATTATCACATTATGGTCTGATAATCCGAAAGGAGGGAAAACCATGGCTGGTTGTACATCGTAAAATTTATGCATGTTTGTAAGTATAAGATCCAAAATCTTGGCACCACGAGTTGGTTTATCAACCAATTGTTTTAACTGAAAATCTCGGCAAAGATCTTTAGTGTCAAAGTGGTTAAAATCACCAGCAATAATAATTCCACAACCTGGAAAAAGACTTTCCAGTAGTGTCAGTGAGTCTGATAGGTATTGAAAAAGATCTGTATTGCTGGAACTTGGAGGATGATAGACGCACGCAGAAACAATGCCGTTAATTCCCCTTGGTAATCTTGGTGGTCTAATGTGTGTCCATAAAACCTCAAAGTCTAAATGTTCAATTTCAGGTAATCGTTTGAAACGGATGGAATTCTTTATGTACATGCAGACACCACCGTGGATACCAAGACTACGATCCCGCCTCACGAGGTGGTAATCAAATAAAGTCGCGTGGGTGTCACAAACGGACTCTCGCAGCCAAGTTTCAGTTATAAAACCCAAATCAAAACTTTGTGCAGAGGTCAAAATACGTAGCTCGTTTTGACATTAATCTAGCTAATTTCCAAAGCTACATTTTTTAAACGAACTTGAAGCAGATGCAATGCTTTGGCATGGTCTTTCACAAGAAAGAGGCAAAGAACGCAACTTGACTTTCTCAATTTAAACAAATAATCGCGACATTGCTTACCTAATACGTTTGACGACTTTCCAGAGGAGGGTGGAAGCTCTTCCCGCCACGCATTGCAACTCATTAATATTCACAATCGCGATTTTTTACAATGTTAGTTGGAAAAGTTGTCGATATTTATTTCGACGACATTTCGCCACGAAAAGTTCATATTTTTGAAGGTAAGTTTTTATATGGTATTTTAAGCTAATCGCAATTTGTATTGACCTGTTTTCCGGGTCTATGCACGAGTGTCAAAAGTGGCTTTCTAAACACCTGGGGACAATTGGGTTTATAAATGAGAAAATTAAATAAAGACCCGCCATTGTATTCAGGAAGAGTTGTTCTTTCTATGAGAAGTTTGAAAAATGAATTGTCCCCATCAAACTGACGAGTAATCGTGGTTTGATAATGGTGCATTTTCGGTATACTATGTCGCCGATCGCGGCAATAGTCGACCGCATGGGAATTATGGCGCGAGGAAAATTACTATAATAGTCGTTATTATCTAGTTTTGTTTTATTTCGAAGCATTGATATATATGTTGATCGTTCTTGAGTTTAACTGCTGCATTTAAGTTAAATACACTGTATTTTACCATTATTTTTATAGAATTCGAATATATTTCGTGAACATATGGAATCTGACAATGATGGCAATGTTGTTTATGTTGTTGATCCTAAGTATGGGAAACGTTCAAATTCTGAATTTAATGCTGATTTAGAACTGTTATTGAACAAACTGTTCCTACATCTTGCTTTGGCAAATGGTATAACATCTAATCCAGCCAAGTTGTGCTCATGATCCATTCAAGCAATGAAACTATTGAACCAGAACAGTCCAGAATAACAAGAGCAACCTGTTATATAGATTTGCCCATACTAGCCTTTAATAGATCGATACATACTTTATTATGCACACATGTACATAGTTCCACTCATGCATGCACTGTGTTGGTAATATTGTTCTTTAATTCAGGCTACACGTACTAGGGAATTCAGCATACACACATGTACATAGTTGCACTCATGCATGCACTGTGTTGGTAATATTGTTCTTTTCAGGCTACACCTACCAGGGAATTCAGCATACACACATGTACATATAGTTCCACTCATGCATGCACTGTGTTGGTAATATTGTTCTTTTCAGGCTACACGTACTAGGGAATGCAGCATACACACATGTACATAGTTGCACTCATGCATGCACTGTGTTGGTAATGTTGTTCTTTTCAGGCTACACCTACCAGGGAATTCAGCATACACACATGTACATAGTTGCACTCATGCATGCACTGTGTTGGTAATGTTGTTCTTTTCAGGCTACACCTACCAGGGAATTCAGCATACACACATGTACATAGTTGCACTCATGCATGCACTGTGTTGGTAATGTTGTTCTTTTCAGGCTACACCT